CAATCTATCGTTGATTGATTCGTACGTCGAAAATCCATCAATAATATATGTCCATCACGAATAACAATTATTCATAGTCGTGAGACATACTATATTCTCTAAGAATGTGATGCAGACCACATGTCAATCTATCGCGTATCATTAATAATCCTTTCTTAATGATCATCGATTGAGGCGATTTGAGAGTTATACTTTATCAATTAACATCTCACTCTGCTAATGACAGTATCAACTCAAGAGAGCAATTAATTAATAAATTGCAAACAATCAAACTATTATGTAATTAATTACAATACCATAATTATAATCTAATATAATCATTAATGTGATCATTTATATATGTCCTCAAAAAGATTGTCTCTAGGACACATATACCAACAATTATAATTGCAGCATGAATATAAATCATCATCACTCAATTATCTCCGATCATTGTATAGTCTCATGTCTCATGTGCACATCTTATACTGTCGGATTCGCCATTCATTAGGCGCTCGTCAACAGGAGCCAAATTACTGTCGGATTCGCCATTCATTAGGCGCTCATCGACAGGAGCCAAACCGAATGCCTCTCATTAGGCATATGGAAATCGCCTTTCATTAGGCATTGTCTATCATTAGGCCAACAGTTCACATACATACATTAATTATAGGATCTAGCGATTACAGAGAATAACTGCACAGTAAAGTTTATCAACACCGACCTGATCGGAAAATGACAGAAAATGTAACGACAGATCGGCAGGTCGAGGGCTCGACTCGACTCCTCATATACCTACATTTAATCAAGATAATTTCCATAAATAAATTATCTTGATACTCGAAAATGTAACAAAAATTCTTGCTTAACAAAAAATTATTGATTAAAGAGTTCGTGAAATTTTGTGGAATTTGGAACTCTCGGATTTAAGAAAATAACTTGGAGAAATATTTTAAAAGGTCAAAATTGAGTTTGACACAAAAAACGAGGTCGAAGACTCAAAAATTAGTCAAATGGCTCGGGAAAAGGGTTTCGGGTTTTGTCGGACCGGCGCCGGCGCTCGGGTAAAGGGTTTCTGGGCGCCAGCAAAGGAGCAGGGTCGTGGCTGTGAGCGTGCGCCGGCGGTAAGGAGGGAAATCCAAGAGAAATTTGGGGAGACTGATGAATTTTTTTTAGGGCCGATTTGTTTCAGCTTCGAGAGAGATGAGAGAGCCAAATTCTTCAGATATTTGTAACGCAAAGAGACTAGAGGCCGTGAGTAAATGAGGGGGAAAAATTGGAAGAAATCCTTAAGTTAAATGAAGAGGGAAGGGGTTACATTGAACAAGGAATTACTTGCCATAATCACAAGGATCTATTAGCATAAAATCTGGTCAAATGGTCGGTTTTAGGAGGCCTTAAAGAGCTGATTTATGGCTGGAAATATTTGCCTCAATTAAGACTCCCTCAATTCTAAATTGAAAAAAAATAAAAGGAGCCAAAATGAACTCAAATGGGGCGGTATTTTACTAAGGCCACGGTCCGATTTTGGGTATTAGGTTGGGCCAGAAATTGAGTTCAACGGGTCGAAATTAATAGGTCCGAGACTTAGGTGAAAATACTAGAAAAAAGGTTACGAGCAAAATTAAATCGAACGACGACGAACGAACTATTTTTCGGTTGATAGAGCAATAAAAATTATTCGACTTATTAGATTAAATAGACGGGTCGTCTAATGAGTTTAAATGAGAGATATGTAGAGCAATTAAATAAAATAGAAACAACACAAATAATAAAAATGCGATAAATCATATAAATCGAAAGGGCACTACATACAAGCTAGAACATTTAGATGGAACTCCTTTCTTGCATCCTTGGAATTTTTTTTGTCCTTTCTAAGAAATATTATCAGTAGAGTAGCTATATATAA